CGTGATTTTTCAAAGGCATGTGCTAACAACCGAAGGAATCAGGGTCGAGCCAGGAAAAATTTATGCGGTACGAGAGATTCCATCCTCTAATGATGTGAAGGGAATCTATCGTTTAAACGGTATGGTGGTTTATTCAAGCCATTTCATGTTAAGACCAGCGGACATCAGAACCCCAGTCAGTAAAGTAAGTCACAAAGGAGTAAAGTGGAATTGGGGGAAAGAACAGGAACCCCTATTCGAAACTATCAAGCCCCTCATCAGCAACGCGCCTGTACTTGGGTATTACAATCCAACACAGCCCTTGAAGGTATAGTGTAACAATATCTAAGCCGGAATTGGTGCTGTTCTCTTACAGAATGGAAAACCTTTGTAATTCCGCAGTCGAGCACTCCGCGTGACCGAGCAACGATATGCGCCGATGGAGAATAAGTTGCTCGCGATAGTCTATGCCCTGGAGCGTTTCAACGATCATACGCGCAAACAATGCACGTCGCAGGAGTCGGTGTGCTAGCATGCGCAACAGGTGGCCCATCCATCGGAACCTGGTGCGTGATATAATGATGCTGAGCGGTTCATTCGCTCTTCCTGCACCAAATACGCGACGCCGAACACGCTCATTGCTCACACGGTGCTCCCACCAGACATGAGTTAACTTGCGAAGGCAGTGATGATCGAATGTGACGAGCCTCTTCATGTCTGTCGACCTGATGGGCCAGGTTTCACAAACATATAGGAGAGTTGAATGAACGGTTGTGTAATAAACTCTACCCTTCAGAGCGAGAGTAATGTCGCGTCTGCGGCACAGGTGGCGGAGATTCGCAAAAGCACCTCGAACCGCGGTTCGTAACCTCATCTTCAATCCCACGGGCGCTAATATAGCTGCGCAGGTACTTGAATTCATGAACGACTTCTAGCAGATCAGCAAAAGCAGTGGTGGGTCCCTGCCAATCTTGGAGAAGTACTTTGCATTTCGATGGAGCAAAGCATAGCCCAAAATGATTGACAGCCAGTGCTAATCGGTCCAGTGCTACTTGGCATGTTTGGGAGCTGTCACAGATTAGGGCATACTCCAAGTCAAGAATTCGCTCACCAGGAAGTAGTTCCACACCTTCTAGGTCGTGTCCAGCGAAGGGTGACTCCAAGACTTCCTTAACTGCAAAGTTAACTATGAAAGGTGACCACGGGCAACCTTGTCTCGCACCGCTACTGATACTGAAGGGTGGTGACAGTTGGCCGTAAACTCTCACACTATCCGAACTATGCGCGTACTGCGTTTTGATAATGTTTACGTAATTATCAGGCATATCTTTCCTCTGCAGACAGTCCCAAAGGGCACATCGATCGACTGAGTCGAAGGCACCTTTTATGTAAAGAAACACGACAACGGTGGGTCGCCAATAAACCTGGCGATGCTCCAACAATTGACGGAAGGTGCAACTTTGGTGTATACAGCCCCGACCTCGATGAAACCCGGCTTACTCTTCGCGAAGCTGGCTTTCACGAGTACGAGTCAGCCTGTGGAGAACGACAGACTCAAACAAACGAAAGGCAATTGAGAACAGACTGATCCCTCCATGTTTGCTTCATTCCGATCATGAGCAACCCTTGAAAATTGGGACAATGACGGAGCGATTCTAGACTGTCGGGACAATCTCCTGCACCAAAAGTTTCCCTAACAACTCGTGTAAATCATCTACTGGAGCAGGTTTCCCGAATTTGAAAAGGGCTGGAGGAATTCTGTTTGCCCCTGTGGCCTTATGCAATTTCGACAGCATGATCTCACGTTAGACTTTTGCGCGTGAGGGAGGATCCAAGGAGACGGTCCAGGGAGAAAGGCGCTCAATGCCCGGAAAAGAAAGCGATAACTCGGGTTGGTTAAATTGCCTTGCAAAGTGTTCAGCCCGACGCTCCAAGCGTTTTGACAGGCTATGGATCGGCTGCTCACTCTCGTCGCGTATGGTCTCACTAACACCAGGTCTCCTGCTGTCCGCTTCCCGTATCTGACGGAATAACTTACGAAGATTGCCAACGGCAGCGGCTGTTTCCATCTCAGAGGCACGATGAGACCACCAGGCTTCGCGGTCTTTCTTCAGGCTAGCACGCAAGTTTGCCCTGAGATTTTTGCGAGTGTCGCTTCCAAACGGAATACGTCGGCCAGCATCCATAAGTTCCAGAGACTGTGTAGAGACCCAATGTCTCTGACACGATGCTCACATGAAAAAAGTGTTAACGTTGTGAAAATACTGAACACATCGTTAACCAGATCTTGCCCTGCAAAGAACGTGACTTGTCGGGTCAAATGCAATGAAATTTTTCGTGGCAGTCGTTTACCGCCCCCTTCGTTCAATTCATAGATGGATTACCGCCCAATATCCACGTTGACAAAAGGCTTACTCCCAACTTACAGTCACGTGCTAATCTCAGGTGATTTCAAACTACACGATCTGGACACCTCGGCACCCACCAATGAAGCATCCAAGGTCGAACTACAAGATCTTATCTCAAGTTTCTTTTGTAAAGTCACAACATTTTGCCCTTCAGGTATAGAGCTGATAACAAACCATCAGCACTAGATCTCGTAGTTACAAACGTGGGGCGTGTGATCGGTAGATGATTAATCGATACCGCACTAGCGCTAAGCCATCATGTTACCACACTTTACAACTACGTGTGTTACGCTGAATACCCGGAGGAACACACTGAAACAACGAGCACTATCAGGCCTTACAACATCCTGACAGATCTAGTTGCGATGACCGATTGGGACTTCCTGAAAGTTAGCTGCTCTGACAGTGGTTGGATTCAGTTCGTTAAACCTTTCTGCAATCAGAAACTAAGCGGGCTCGTTCCACCAAACCATCGTCGTTCTTTAGGGACATAACTTGAAAAGGTGTCACTAAGGAGTGCAGTTTGACACGCTTACAGAATCCGTCATGGTCCCCAAACAAAACGTGACTACATGGCCGAGCTGTAATTGGTTTGTTATCAAGGACAAAGTCGATCATAAAAATGCCTGTTTTTAAATTGACTAAAAAACCTCCTACGTTAACATGTTAACAGCATTCGCAAAGTAAAGCACGGAACCCATCGTTCACTTCGGCAATTGGGGTCGCACAGAGCACTGAAGTAGTAGCTAATGCACTAAGGATGAAGTATGCCCCGACCTTCCAAGGAGACATCCGACAGTTTTACATACCCACAACCATGGCGCCAATCGCAGAACTTACTGTCATCGCATTTACCGCCAGATCTGTGTTGTGGAAAGTGCTCTAGTTGCGCACCTACAGTTCCCCCGGAATCAAGGACATTCACTCGAGGGTGTTGAACGTAACAGCAACAACGCTGGTCTAGCCTTTATCACATATTTTCTAAACGTGCTTGGATGAACAAATGGTGCCGATCATGTGGAGACCCGGAGTAATTACGCCAATTTTTGAAAATACCAATCACTGGGAACTCACGAGCTATCGCCCAGGTGTCGCGCTCCTTGTACTTGCAAACATGATAAAAGCGGTCATCGCAGTGGCTTTAATTGGGTATCTAGAACCCTTCAAACTCATAGCACCAAAACGAAGCGGTTTCCGCCAGCATCGATAATGGGCAACCAAACTGCTGATTGCACGCGGAAGTTGGACTTAAGCAGCCGGCGTAGGGACAGGGACCAATGTCATTTACCCCAACTTCTACAAAACCTGCAACCGCCTGGACGACCGTATTCTGCTTCACAGCCTTGAAAGTTAGGGATATGAGGATTCTGTCTTTGGATAGATAAGGAATTTCCTGCGAAATTGACAATCGCAGGTCGGAGTACGGAGTGCACTGTACGATCCGATTAATGTAGTATGTAGAGTTCCACAAGAATCATTGCTGGGGCCGCGTCTGTTTATCGTGATCATCAACGGGCTTACGCGTCTGATTGCCTCGGTGTTTGATACTTTGCTGATGATGTTACGATATGCTGGGTGATTGCCAACCAGGAAGATTATGATGCACCTCAAGGAGACATGGACAGTGCGTAGAAATGGTCGTTTCACACTCTGCCCCAGTTTAATTCGTCCATATGTAAGGCAGTTCACATTCGTGACCTCCGAACATCAAATAAAAGTCTGGGGAGCATGTCCTGCAAGCTGTTATCCAGGAGCACGACTATGAAGCATCAATTCAGGATGATTTGGGTTGCTCAGCGCAAGTGAGAAAGCGTCAAATACTGGAACCCAACAAATTAGTATGCTGCGGATGGCATTTAGGCGGCTTGATCTACCTGTCTTTCCGCAGCCGCTCAACGCAAACTTGTGGACTTATGTGGAGTAAGCAATCCGGCCCTGGTAGCTCTGGCACAAGCAACATCTTGCGGCACTCGAGACTCCACAATGAAGCGATACTGAGCAACTCAGAGGGTTATCCAACCTTCTACATCAACTTGGGCTGGAGACCCCCAAATTATACGGCGGTCAGTATCGGCGAGTACATGGTGACCGAATAATGGCCTATCAGATTCAGAGGAAACCCAACTACTTCTGCCGCCACCCATCGCAACGTAGTCACAACATGAATTGGAGAGGCCACCAGCTCAAGTTCGCCACGCAATATGGTCGATTGAATGACAGTGAAACTTTTACTCTCTTCATGTCGGCCAGCTATGGAATGCCGTCCCAAATTACCTTGTTTCCCCCCCCCCTACTTTAGCTGTGTTTAAAAAGTGCGTTGATGTTGCCCTAACTCAACTACGTTACGAGGTATAGCCTGTTTACATCGATAGACGATGTAATGTGATGAACATTGTACAACCTGCACAACCTACACAACTGAAACATGAATTTCCTTTTATACTTCCAAATAAGAATATGAGAAGTTAAAAATCGTGGGATGACACTGTCGTTTCCTGCACAGCTGAATCCACAATACATATATATATCCATTACAGACCCCAAGTATTAAGCCCGTGAGATATGCCAAAGGTGGTTCAGAGCAGATGTGCTCAGGTACACGTAAACCCTTTATCAAAACACTCCATCCCGCACGCACATTGGCACGTAACTAGTGGATAGATTGTGAAAACTGATCAGAATAAAATGAAGCAACTTTGCAAGAACATAACTCACTCCATCCTCCGAAGCGCTTAGCTCAGCACACGAGAGAATAGTCGGCATTTCCACTGACTCCAAACGTTCGGTTCCGTGTGATTTTTGATGCGATTTTGAATGATGGTGCCGGTGTTGGTGGTAGCCATGGTGTGTCCGACCCGGTACGACGATGGGCTTCGTGGCGTTGGTGCGTTTTTCTCTTATAACCAAATGATGGTGTTGATAACACGTGCTTGAGTGGTGTTCCGGCTCCTCGGTACTGCTGGGAGCGTGTTTGGTGCTTCGCTTGTGCGCCGAGTGGCTACCAAACACTGCGTTCGGAAAGGCCTTGGTGGATGCTTTGCATTGGTCCCTAGTGCCCACATAATTCGGATCCTCTGGTTGTAACTGTGATTCATTTTTGGTGTACCCATGTGGCAACGGTGGAATTAAATTAAACGGAATTCCTTCTAACGAGGTGGAGGGTTCATTACGACCAAAAATCGATTGGATAGGAAGCTCAGTTTCTTCACGTTCTAGAGGAGCGACCTGCTTAACCACCTTGGAGCGGAGTAAACCCTGCAACCGAGCCCGTAACTTGCGCCCTGACACAGGTTTCTGACCGACGCGATTGTTGTCCGAAAAGGCACTGCACGTGCTCTTCGTGTCGTCGCTGATACGGTAGGGACTCTGACATTCCGAGTGCACTTTCGAACCTGGAGTAGATGCTGGAAGCGGCTTCCTAATCTCAGTGGAAAATTTAGTTCGTTTGCGGCCAGTCTCAGACATCTTATAATCCCGAGAGAGCTGCGTAGTGAAAAGGATAGTATAAATAACAAGTATATGATAGGTGAATTACAAAATATTGAGATATGGACATGCCCCACATCTAATTCGCAGTACGCCTCGTTACGTTGCAATTTTCTACTTCATCGTGTTACCAAATATGTTTCAGTAGTCGGAAGCGGGAAGGTGAATACAACGGTTGTCGTCTATTCGAAAGGTGAGTTTCCTTACTTCACTTCACCTTTCTATTATCTCGCCATTCTGTTGCTTCGTCCGCCCACACAGCGCCCCAGTGAACAAGAAACGACGGAATGACTTTCAGAAGACCTAAGAAGACGGTGGTCTGATAAACTGCTACAGGGTTTGCCATGAAACCCGGTAGCAATGCTCTGCATTCTTCATCCATCGCAGATGACACTGAATGCACAAACTACGACACAGCATCCGGTGTAGAGCATCCCACTTTGGAGGGAAGCATAAAATGAGGCGTGTTGTAAAGACTAAAGATCAGTAAGGCTTGTTTCCAACAGATAGTACGACTGAGGGTATGCGGGTGTTCTCCGAGCTGGTTGATTTGGTTGCAGACGTTTCATCGTCAGACTAGACGACATCATCAGTGCGATTTAAGCGAGCCACTTGCAGATCCAAGTGATTATTGATCACTTGATTCGAACGTCAGAAGTCTTTTGGTCCACGTGAGCTGTTCGGGTAGTCAACTCTTGCGTACTGTTAGCTAGAGTCCGCCTCAATGGTATCTGGACTAGTGCCCGAAGCGGTGATGCAAGCATTGGAGGAAACCGCACTCCTGATCGCAAAACCTAAACTCTGCCTACGCTACGTGGACGATTCTTTTGTCATCCTAAAGCACTCGAAACTGGAAGAAACTCATCAGTTAATAAACAGCACGTTTACTGGTATCCGTTTTACTAAAGAAGAGGAGAACAATTGTCAGCTACCATACTTGGATGTGTTAGTAAAAAGACATGCTGCTGGACAACTGGAGACAACAGTTTATCGGAAAGCGACGCATACAGACCAAATCCAGAATTATCGCAGCAATCACCCAACAGTCTACAAGCGCAGCTGCATAATAACTTTATTTAAAAGAGCGCAGACACATTGCAGCACACCGCAGCTGAGGAAAGTGGAGGAAGATAATCGATTCGAAATGTTTACACGGAATGGGTATCCTAGGAATTTCATTCTACGTTGTTTAACATCAATAAAGCGACCGAGGCATGAACAAACATCAGAAACGCCAAAAAGGACTATCATTCTACCATACATAAATGGTGTTTCTGAGATGGCGGCGAGACTGCTACTACCTTTCGGAATCAGAGTTGTTCACAATCCGACGGAAACCATCCGAGACAAGCTCTTCAATGGTAAGGACCGGCTTGGCAAAGAAGAAACAAGTGGTGTGATTTACAAAATCCACTGCAAAAATTGCAACAAATACTAGGTGGGCCAGACAGGAAAAAAGCTCCGCACTAGGCTACATGAGCATAGCCTAGCCATCCGCCGACATGACCAGAACTCCCTGATGTCGGTACATATGGACGTCGAGAATCATCAGTTTGATTTGGAGAATGTCAGGATCATAGGCAGGGCAAAAACTCGAAAAGCACGCGAGTTCATCGAGGCTTGGTGCTCGGGAAAGAACTCAATCAACCGACACTTAGATCTTGATACTGCCTATGAAGCACTGAGGGTTAAAACAATACTCCGCCCCAGATCAAATAGACATAGGAATATCACTGAGGCGGACTCTAGCTAACAGTACGCAAGAGTTGACTACCCGAACAGCTCACGTGGACCAATGGACTCCTGACGTTCGAATAAAGTGATCAATAATCACTTGGATCTGCAAGTGGTTCGCATAAGTCGCACCGATGATGTCGTCTAGTCTGACGATGAAACGTCTGCAACCAAATCAACCAGCTCGGAGAACACCCGCATACCCTCATCCGCATCCCGATCTACAAATATTCTCACGGATTTCTAGATAGGACGACTATTTGCGGCTAAAGTATCAAATGCCAAGGTCGATCACGTGCTAACGCAGATCATACTGCGACAGCTGCTAGCGAACATAGAGGAACATGTCAAGGTCAATGTGGACGAACTGAGCCTTACCGGTCGTACAGGGAACATTCTGGAACATGAAGAACTCTATTAAAACGGTATGTCTAGAGAATCTTAGTGGACATGCCCCGGTCGGAGAATATATATAAAACAAATTTGAATACTTATGACACTAATTTGTGGCAGCAACTATCCGTTATGGCCTATCCTCGATTTTGCTCTAGTGTCATAATACATTATGACAAGTAAACGCTAATTAGTTTGGACTAACAAGGAGTCTGTCACCCAAACGAAAAAGCGTCCAAATTGTTTACATCCGCTTTGGCATTATAGCTTTACCGCTTTAGGGCTATGAACCAGAACTCTATGTAGTGATTCGTTGCCGATTGTAATAACGGTGTGGTGCAAATTGTCGGTCCAGGGATCCTCGCCTACAGAGCCACTGAAGCGTTCTAAAGCAAGAGCTAGTGTGTGTACATTCAGCTTATAGGGTTTGGGAGATCGAAAATGAGATGGGGACAGTCTGGATGTGTTCAGCAGCTCATTCAACTGCTCCTGAGAAGTACAACACCTCATTTCAAGACCAATTTCTGGCTTAATCGCACTCTTGAAGTAGGAACAGCAGCACCGTGACTTGAACCAGCGACGAAGCGGTCACCGACCAAGTTCTTTACCCATACGCCACCGAGCAGCGACCAACGCTTGTCACAACCGTTGATGACGGATAGTCAATTAGTTTTCTCTGTCTAATATGCATGAACGGAAAGTCCCTGAGAAGCATCACTTGATCCCATTTGATGTGGCACCAAGCCAAATATCCTATGGTATTCCTTTCCAGTACAAATTTGTTTCGGCTTACGATAATCTACTCGCTGTAAGCTAAAGCTACGATAACATACTTCCCAGTATGTGGTCCAGAGCAACATGGGTATAATGAACTCGTTTTCAGTTACAGATAATGCAACCAACGGTTTTATGAAGAATCGAATAGATGATCTACCTGCTGTTTGGAAGTCATACTACTAGAGATGCACCTGGCCACTGACCAGGTTTGGCGGAAAACTGGCAACATGCACAGATGGAAGCGATATAGACCCGGCCAGGTGATCAGAAAAGTTCGCCGATCGCAAACCTATGTTATCCAAAGAAGACCAAGAACTCTATAGTCAGGAAACTCCAAATTCCGCTAGCAAGACGCCTAGCTTTTAAAGTAAAGCCTCCAAGTGTGTTAATTCACTATCCACCAAGTCACCGTTTGGACTGTGAAGTAGACCTTGACAGAAGACCGTTAGTATCCCTGAGAGATCTTCCACGTACTAAAACTTTTACCCAGTCACTTGAGAGAAAGATAACAAATATAATAAATCGAGTAATGCATAAGGAAACGGGGACATAATCTTAAATTAATGAGCAAATGAAATAAGTTGTTTACGAACGGATCCGAGATAAGTTCACGAAGTCTGAAAGTATATTTTACGGAAATGCCACAAACACGAAAATGTTATCGAAATTAACTACAACTGGCTTAAGCGACGTGTGCAAGTTTATAGAATAGAGTACTGGTAGACATTTATATGAGAAAGAAAAGCATTAGGACAAAATTGAAAACCCACCACCTGAAATAAAGAGACTTAGCATGCAAGCACGCGGTTAGTAAATTGAATGCAGCGTACCTACAAACGCTGCGCCGGTTCTGCCTACGTTCTCTGCAGGACCCGTCATCGCTTCGGTAGTGGTCCCGAGTGGCCTCGCTCATGGCTCACTAGGCTTGCCTGACTCAGGCACTCGCGACCGCATGTGCTACAGCACCATGTGCTCGATGTCGATGGAGTACAACCCATCGGTGTTTGCCGCTTCCGCACTTGCCGCTTCTTCTATGCATGCACGAGGACTTTCTCCTGCACTTCGGCAACTGCCTTCGTGATGAGATCGCGCCATACGCGACGATCAACTGCTTTCGATTCCCATGACCTGCAATCAAGATTAGAACGTGCGAGGCTCACTTTAATCATGTCCTGGTAACGTAACTTTGGTTACTCCGCATGCCGCTTCCCAATACTCAGCTGACCGTATAAGAGTTGTTTCGGTATCCGCGTTGAATCCATACGCCACACATGACCGAGCCCCCTCACGTGTCTCAGTAAAAGGATGCAGTCCACTGCATGCTTCCCACTTTGTCGCAACACTTCCGTGTCTGCAACTCTGGCGCCCCAACCGATCCGCAAAATTCGTCGCCAACACTGCTGATGGAACCGCTCGATATATCACAAATCCCGCCGGTACACCGTCCATGTTTCGCTGCCGTATAGTAGAACGGACAGCACCATGGATTTGTACACCATCGGCTTCGTGCCAATGGTAAGCTGATGGTTGGCTGGCTAGCCGAACAACCTCCTCGTGGTGCCAGCTGGGTGGTTCGGGATTTTCCCGTTCCAGCAAATGGTTCGGCGGCAGTGTTCCAGGACGTGGTGGGTTTTCGCCTGGCGAACGTTCTCCCTATAAAAAGCCACATATGTCCGTTTAACAACACTGTGACGTGTCGGACGTGACTCGCCACTAAATAAAGTCACTGCCCCTTGCTTCATCCTGGCGAAGCATTGTATTCCAGCAACGTCATGCTGTACTTCTGGGGAGCATTGGGCCCCTGTTTGACAAAGGAACAAACAAAAGGCGTATGAACTGCGCAATCAGTCACCGGCTCCCAATGGGCGCGATTCCCTGAATTCGCTCCGCTGCCTTGCGGACAGGCTATTCACCCAAAGGATCGGGGTGGTGTCCCCTAAGTCAACACCCTACTTCAGCTTGGGCAACCGGGTAGTATCTCGCCCTCTGAGGAAACCATGGACATTGTTGTGTTGTGTTTTATTTTACTATTTCTGTACCTTCGTTTGAATCCCATGGTATCTGATGGCATTATGTCTATTCGTAGACTTTTGC